CCAACATGACATTGATTATAAAACTCTAAGCATATATGAGTAGATATTTCTAAGCATAAATGAAATCCACTATATAAACCTGACAACTTATTAAAGTGTCTGAAATTAACATTCCAACTTCCCCTTTAGTGTGCTTGTTGGGCAACTTATTATGTTGTAGATTATGCCTCAATTTTGTTCCACAACTTAGACATTCACATTACTCACACTCTCATAACACGTACATATAGGACCTTGGGGGTGGGCACGCTACACGGCATCCATGTATACATTGAGAGTTCTCGGGAGGGGCTATGCACTAACCTACTGCTCTCTGGCAGGTAGCTCCATGCCCTCTTGGGTTTTAAATGCACCTTAGTACACACATGCATCAACACTACATATGAGTGGGCGGAGGGAGGTTTGGAGTCTTCACACACCCCCATTCTCTGTTGCCTGTCGGGGCGGTGGGGCTGGGAGGAGGAGCTGGCCATCCGATTGGGGTCTGGAATGTGGGGCCTCCCTGCTACTGCGGAGTCGGGCCGGTCTGTTTGTCTCCACCCCAGGGAAAAGGGTAACACCTCCTGGGTCTGGGTGCAGTTTCCCCCTCTAGGGGCAAGGGTACCTAGACCTGGGGTATAGAGTACGTTTGGGGAGTGTGATTGTGTGTACAGTGTCTATTTATGAGTGTCTCCACATTGGGTGAGTGCTGAGTATTTGCATATGTGTGCATGGGGTTGGGAATGGATGTTCATATCTGTGTGTGCCTGTTTGTCTCTGTCTATCTCTAGGAACATCTCAAGCCCTCCAAGGTATGGAGGCCTATCTTCCCCCACCACTCCTCCTGCCGGTGACTGACGCCCTCAGACATCAGTGCATTGGTGGTTCTTGGTGACCGGGGCTGTGCGCTCAAGTATCCACCGGCTCACTTCCGGTGGCTGCTTGTCGGGGCCTGGCGCCTGTGGCTCAGTTGGGTCCCTTCGGGGGATGGGGTGGCCTTGGGCTCTGGGCCTGCGCTCGGTCCACTCTGGCACAGCTGGCTGCTGGTGGAGCTCACGGGCACGTCACTGCAACCCCCTCTGGCTTCTGATCCATGGCTGCTGGGTGACCCCTCATCTGGGGCTCTCCTCAGCTCTTTCCGAGAGAGTGGCACTGTTGCCCCGCGGTTGGTTTTCCTTGGACTCTTGCGCTCTGGGGGTCTCTGGATGTCTAGAGCCTGGATCTCCTCCATACCTGCTTCATGCCCCGGGGGACGGGGCTATGGCTCCCCACACCCTCTAGCAGACCCGCTTTGAATTCAAGCGCGCTCATGCTCACAGGTGTACACACGGGTGCTCACAGACACAAACTACACCTCTTTTGGCTGCTACTCCAAAGCACACTGTGTGCTGTCGATCTTACGTGCTGCACAATAATATTCAATATTTAGTATTTACTGTTATATAAACATAGATTATGGCGATGATGTTGTTTATTATATTGCTCTCTTTTTTGCTTGTTTTCTCTTTTCTTTTTTCTCAACAGGTGAT